GAAAATGAAGGCTCTTCTCCTATACCTGGTTGTTCGAGTAGTACTCTGTAGCGAAGACGTGCAAATAACCACACTTGAAAATCTCATCCTTCCTTTAGAACTAGGGAACGCAAGACTCATTTACACCAAACATACTTTTCTACACTATATAGACATGAAAACAATTATCAATCAGATGAATAATCTGAATGAAAATTTCAATTCAATAAGAAGTAGTATCACCAAAATCAATACAACAAACCCGATATCGTACCACGGATTGGCCGAAAATATGCTATTAAGAACTGAGTATTTGATACAAACTGTCCAAAAGAAACTCGAGAGTTTTCTCCCTCATACCCGAAGCAAAAGAGGCCTATTGAACGGGATAGGTAAAGTGAATAAATGGCTCTTCGGCAATCTAGATTCCGACGATGAAGAACGGTATAATCACGCCATCAATGTATTAGAGCAAAATCAAAAACAAATCATTCACGAAATAAATCTCCAAATTTCCTTATCGAAAAAACTTATTGACCATTATAATAAAACTATAAGAATACTGAACTCAAATCAGGAGAAGTTCGAACGTAATTTAGAAAGGTTTCAAGCATCAATGAACGATCGAATCGAAAATGTTAACGATTATATTAGCTTTCAAGGAACAATCTCGCAAATGAATCTCGACTGTCAAACTGTTATCAACTTCATTGACAATATCGAGAACGCCATCATGTTTTCTAAACTCAACACTTTACACAGCTCGATAATATCTCATTCAGAATTGAAAGAAATGATCAACTACCTGCGAGGAATATACGACGAAAAAGAAATACCAAAATTCAAAAATACCCTGACTTACTATGAGTTCTTAGGAACCCAAGTAAATGTCGTCAATACGAAACTAATATTTGCTGTTCACGTCCCAATCATGAAACCTAAAGTTTTTAATTTTTACCACCTGTATCCCGTTATCCTAAATCATAAATTATTTGTCCCTAAACACCCCTACCTGGCACGCAACATACAAGATACTCAGTTCGAAAAAGAAGATTGCCCCTTGCTAGAAGATGTCTACTACTGCCCAGAAACATTTCTGCCCAAGGACAACTGCACTATCAAAATCCTCGAAGGACGTTCACCGGAAGAATGCCAAATCCTGGAAATCAACGTGAGAGATTCCATCCTAGAACAAGTAGCCCAAGACAAAATTCTGATGATCCCATTCCAACCAGAACGGGTCTACTCAAAATGCAAGACAGACCGATATATAGAAATCAGCCATCCTGCATTGATCAAAGTCCCGGAATCCTGTGAAATACAAATTCAAGGCAAGAAATTCATAAGCGACACCCGAATCCAGCAAGGCAAACCATTATTTCTGCCGAAACTGGAAATTAGTAGCTTGAAAACATCCCGGAACTATGAAACGCCGAACTTCACCAAATTGGACTTCGAGGAAATGAAAGAAATCAACAATATAGCCAAACAGCTTAAGCCCGTACGACTAGAAGAGAACCAACAGTCAACCACGCCTATATTCTGGATAATAATTGCAATAATAATTGTAGCAATTATTGCACTATTCCTACCAAAAATGAAGCAGATGTACCACAAATTCTTCCCAAACTGCAAGAAGGTTCAAGAAACTCCAGAAGCGACCACGTCCAAAAATAACTCCGTTATTTTTTCATCTTGAGGAGGGAGGAGTTACATGATGCTCCTTATCAAAAACATGCCGCGACGACAAGAGAAACATGAGACTATTCCGAGAAGACCATCTCCTCACGAGATTTCTGCGAGCCAGCTTGATTTAGTTTTTATATTCACAATTCATTCCTTGTCTATCTTTCGAAGAGAATTCTTGATTGTACAATTCCGTAATAAACGTAATTTTGCTTTTTAAAAAGGCAGTTTTTGAGGTTGAAGTTAAAATTCGGAGTTAGTCAGAGACTCAGGGTGAATCATCTTGCGTGGGCCATTCGGAATTTTTATTATGGACCTCACTACTAGAAATGTTATGCTTTTCTTCTTCGAAATCCATATTTCCATTTAGTTAGTTAATTTTTCATTTCAATGACCAAATAAAGGCAATTCATTGTTAACTAATGTTTCGGGGGTAAATTTTGAATTCCTTGAATTAACTACTATCCACAACCTCTCGTGAGGTTGATAGCCACTTGGTGTGTACATACTACAGCCTTTCTCATACACCAATATAGTACATGCATCCATCCATCTATCTATCTACCTATCTATCTATGAATGTAATATGTATTCAACAAACCTGTCAAAACATTATCTAGAAAGCAGCAATGAAATACAAAAGCCACAATTACAAAAGCGAATCTTCTTCTGATATAATATTACTTTCTCTACGACTACGAGAAAATTTTAATTTTCATGTAGATAGTAATTTTGAAAAAAAACATGAATTCTTCATTTAAAAAAAAATCGCAAATTTTCTAGATCCATGCATTGAATCATATTTTTTTCCACAATTCTTTAAACACTAATGATAGAACAGTAAGGGAGATTTGCTCTCCTAGAATTAAAATGTTGAAAAATGATGATATCGTTGACGTACTGAAGCCGGCCGCACGAACATATCAAATTAACCCAGGAGAAAACGAATATTCAGGGTGTTTCAGAGTTGTAGTGACAAAATGTGAAAAAAAAAACATGCGTCCAACAATGTTTCGTTTCCGAGATACAGGTTGTCCAAGTTAAGGAAAAAAGAGTATATTATTAATATTTTGAAAACGTTTTAGCCGATTTGAATGAAATTTTTATGGTTTATTTACACAATCATCAGACATTTACTGAACCAATTAGATTTGATCCAGGATTTTCAGGGGCATACCCATCGAGCAAGTCACTTTTTTTTGTAGAAAAGAAGTCAACCTGTTTTTTTGTGTTTTTCTCAAATATTCAGATGAAACCACTAAACATACAACATTTCTGTTTCTTGCTACTTTTTCGTATCCTGCTTCGTTTTTGAGAAAAACGGACAATACCACACCTCGGCATATCTCTGAACTCCATAAGAAGAAATAAAAATACTTAGATATTATCCAAATTGCACATTATTAATTATGAAAACAAAAAAGACATCTACCCTCTCTGGAATATATACGATCTTCAAATTGTGTGAGAAAAATTATTTCAAGATATTATTGAAAAAATCATTTTTTTTATCTCTGAAACGAAACAATTTCGGACTCATGTTTATATGACCTTTTTTTCATATTTTGTTGAGAGAAATTTTGCTTTACCACAACTATGAAATATCCTGTATTTGCTAATGAAGAATTCATGATCATGTACTGTTTCAACCAATTACAATGATTCGAGACAGTCGTAGCGAAAGTCCATTTTTGTATTGTGAAATGGTGATTATCGATCTGGATTTTAATAAATCGATTTGGACAAACTTCAATACGAAATTAATCTATTGACAAATTCAGAATTAGACAGTAGCATTGGCGAATATATATAATTTTCAAGTTCTTTCCTCGTAAATAATGGCCAGTATTAAACATTCACATACGAAAATACGATATATCCCTGTCTTTGCAATTGCAGTCAGTTTTCTTTTACCGTCAATTACATCAAAACCGTTTAATAACGAACAATCGTAAATCATCAATTCCCTCTTATCTTCCTTTATATATGAAAAAAATTGTCTCATTTCTTCCTCTTACCAACCTATGATGGAGTTCGGAAAGAGTAGAGAATTTCAGAAATCTCGGTATAAAACAAAAGGTCTCTTACCCTGAAAAATTAACCCAAATATACGGTTCGTTGTTTTGCGAGATAACAATGGTGAGAGATAAACGAACTTTATGTAGATCATTCGAAGTCAACTGAGACATTTTTGAAATATACATACATAAGTAGCTCCAAAATTGTTCGATACTCTGATAATGAATTCTATCCCCATATGTTACAAACTTTATGAATGACACTGTACATTGTCGATCTAAATGGAAAAGCTAGTTAGTATGCGAGAGGTATAATATTGTCTGTTCATTGACCCAAAATTTGTCTGCCTGCCAATGGCGCTACTTCATAGGAAACTGTCAATATCTCATTTGTTTCCATGTCAGTGATACTGTTTTGGGTTGAAATTGTCTTCTTCTATTTTTTTCAAACAGTACTCAACCAGTCAACCACAGATATTGATGAGAAAGGAGAATATTCGTTGACAGTTTTGATGTCTGGTGGTTGATTGTTGACTTCCTTTTTTGAATTATCTTTCCCCGTATCCTTTAGAATTGCGATTGAATCTATTATTGATTATTTCTAATAGTGTTGCTTGTTATCTATCAATTATTTGGTTTGATTGTATTTTTTGTTGTTATTTGTATTTGTTATTGTTTGTATTAGTTAGTAGATACTTCCAAGTACCACAAATTAACAAACCAAGGTTTGTTAATCTATGCAAGTACCAAGTACATTGCTTTGTTTATTTTCTTTCGCTGTCTTACTTTTACCTAGTTTATTGCTTCTAGTAGTTATTAGAGTGCCTAGAATATCTCATTTCACGACCATTAAAGAGTGTGGACAACTTATTAAACATCTGAACAAAAAATATGAGTCACAAATATGTTTTATAAAAGATGGTCTGTCATTTTTCTGCACCCCTTCATTGAACGAGTGCAGACATATTATTATTTGAACCCTGACAGTGGCATAACTCCTAAGGCACATAAAGCTAATTTTGTAGCTATATCAATATTACATCATTGAATGTATTTCCTTGTAATGAATATAGGAATTTGAAGCTTTAACGAACACTTGAAATGTCTTCTCGTTTTTGGGTAACTCAAATATAAATGGTATCCATCATTCTTAGAATCTTTGCGATTCGTTACCGAATAACAAGACATTCGAAAACATGTTCGCGGGGCGCCTATTCAATTTTCACAAGCGACAGATGTTATTGTGTTATTAGGGCTTGAACAAATAATGTGTGAATTATAAGTGAAAAAATATACCGTGTAAGCAAGTAAACTCACCCGTATAAGGAAACAGATACTTGTCGCTGACGTGCTGCTTCTCCTCCATCTCCTCCTCACAACGTCTCTCTCCGCCCTCCTGGTAGTTCAAATTGTCCTGCCGCCCGCCGCCCACCTTGGGCGCGTATCCGCCCTTGTACGCCAAGATGGCGTCCGAACCGTAGCGGTCGTCGTACCGGAGCGCGTACTGCTGCTCCGACCGCCCTAGGCGGGTCTCGCCGGGCGGGGGCAGCGGGTTGGGGGAGTTGTTTTTGGGGGAGAATTCGTTGTCGGAGCCCGTTTCGGCGGACCATCGGCCGACTTCAGGTACTGTCGAGGGGAATAGAGAGGTTAGAGGCTGGTGAGGTTACGAAGAAGCTTCGGGATAATGGCCATGCAGACCTCAGACTAAATTAATAACAAAATGAGGAAAGGAAGCTCGAAGTCATCTCCACAACTTCAATAATTATTTATTGTTTATTGAAAAACTAGCTTCCAGTCAGAAATAAAATTCTGGTATGAGGAAGTTGATTACAAACAACAATAATAAAATAATATAAGGTGACAACAACAACAATAAAAATCTAAAAAATCTAAAAATGCTAAATCGATCAAGTCATAAAAATAGCCACAGGGACTAATCAGTAGATGGCAAAGTATCAATTTTATCCATTTCGTAATGAAATCATGTGTTTTTTTAATTCAATTTTAAATTTTGAAATATGTCTGCAATTTTTTATATTATGTGGTAATTTATTAAATTCAGCTACAGCAGCGTGAGTAAATTTTTTTTGGCCAATTATAGAAGTAGCAGAATCAAGATGAAATAAGTTTAATTGTCTCGTGTGATGACCATGAATTTCTGAGTTTCTTACCAAAACAGAATTGGATTTCAGATTATTGTTTATTATATTATATGAAACTTTAAGAGAATCAATTTTATATAATTCATCCAATGGAAATTTTTCTGTTATCGCATACAGATCATTTGTTGGAATATCAATATAAAGTGCAGATATTTTACTGAAATAATTTTTTGAACAAGATCCCCCCCCAAACGTTTATCATATAGGTAATACGACTGAGTATATGAGAATGAAGTACTATGTTTATGACTTTTTTGTCAAGTTTAGGACATCTTCGCAAAGCTCCAATGATTGGAGATATTTTTTGTATCAGAACCTCTATATACTTGTCCCATTTAAATTTTTCTTCAATCCACAAACCAAGATACTTTATTTGTGTAGTTCTTTTCAATACTTTATTTTTAATTTGGAGATTGAGACTAATATTCTGTTTATTTTTTTGATGGAATATTATATATTCAGTTTTATTGGTGTTAATTGTTAAAATGTTTGAATAAAGCCATTTTTCAAATTTTTTCAAATCTTCGTTAATAATATTTTCTAGAATGATGGGGTTTCTGTTTTCGTATAGAAGTACAGCATCATCTGCATATATAGTATAATTACCTGACAATCCAATTTTACAAATATTTAGAATATATAATAAATACAAGATGGGCCCTAAAACAGATCCCTGTGGAACACCTTTACTTATTGGAAATTTATTAGACTCTGACATATTACATTTAGTGCTGATTGTCCTATTCGCAAGATAAGATTCTAAAAGATTTTTAACAATGCCTCTGAGTCCCATCGATTCCAAGTATTCTAAGAGATTCTTATGGTCAACTGTATCAAATGCCTTTGTACCACTATTTTCTTGGAATGTAGTAAATCAAAAGGACATGTGTCGGACTTATAAAAGTCCATCTTCAGCCGTATTTTAGAAGTTACTACAATCAGAGGCATGTGAAAATATGCATATTGTTATAAAACCAAAAATTGACTGATTGACTACATCATTATTAAAGTTGTGGAGATGACTTTGAGCTTTCCTTCCTCCTTTTAAAAATTCCACTCCACTTTGAGCGAACATGGACTTCTACCAGAGATTGAATTAATAACAATAAACAGACACAACGATTAATTCATAATTAAATAAAAAGTATACGCCAACAATTCTAAACGCAAAACACGGCTATACTTGATATTATGAAGAGGAAATATTTGTTTGTATTGAATAGGCACTGAAACTACTGGACCGATTTGAAATATTCTTTTACCATTAGAAGCCGGCATTATCCCTGATAAGGCTACTTTTTACCGCGGAAAAATGCTTCATTCCTACGGGAAAACGGGTAATACTTATCTTTTTCACATAACTTCTAAACAGCTGAACCGACTGGATTGAAAATGTAAAAACTTCACAAACGATAAGATTTCCACAAAATTCTTATACACACAACATGTTTCGCTAACACAGTAGCTTTGTCAGGTGATATACTGGTACAATGAACTCAACCATAGACTACAGAAGATAATCTATAAGACAGTTCACTCGTTCATTTTTCGACTTCTAAGAGATCTCGCCGCACCCTCGCCAACGACTCGATTCTGCCGGCCACCGCCTGCCGGTGCGATACAGTGTGTCGCTCAGAGTTACCAGTTGTCGTTGGTTGACGAGATATACCGGTTGTCTATATTGTGTAGTGGTAGTGTCTTGTAGTGTTGAATCGTACTGTGGAATATTTGTGAAATGCCTACTCATTGCTCAGTGGATGGTTGCCCTAGTATTGTGGGAAGCCCAGGTCTTTCGTTTTTTCGTTGTCCAAAATACATTTTGAGAAATGTGAGGCTCAAGAAGCCTATGACATGTTTCGGAGTATTGAAGTCAAGAATTACGATGGCAAAAGTATGACAAAGCAGTTGAAGTTCATTTTTGGATGGAGGTTAACCTTGAAAGCAGTTCTTGCATTATCGAAATGTTGAAAGAACGAAATTATAAATATTTGTTCACACGTAATTTAAATCAAGATTGTTTAGAGAATTTCTTCGGGCAGATTAGAAATTGTTCTGGCAACGCAAAAAATCCAACACCCATACAGTTCTGCAGAGCATTTAAAAAATTATTTGCTTTGAAATACTCTGATTCTAGTGAAGGTGCGAACTGTATGGATGATGTGAATGAAGTTTTGTTGAGTTTAACGCCAGAGTTTACTGAAAAATGTACAGATATCCTGGTTGCACTCGATAGCCAAAAATATACTCTGAAGGTTTTCACTCATGATTACAAAAATCTCATGAGTCCCGAAGGAAATGGCCTAGTCTATATGTAACAGGATATCTTGTAAAGAAATGTCTAACTCAACATTCATGTGAGGTTTGTGTAGATTTCAGCAAATCTTCAGAAAATTTGGTAGATGAAGAAGTACTTTTCTGCAAACTGAAGGCATATAGTACCGAAAAATCATCATTTGGTGGTTTAACAATAACTTCAAAAGATATTGTTGATCATGTCATATTCATGGAGAACATATTCATTGAACACTTCAACAAAATCGGAGGTGAAAAAGGACTTGGTCAGTATTTGAAACAACAATACTCAAAAGTTCCATTTTCACATCCATGTCAAGAATTTCCCTACAATTATTATATATCTTTGTACACAAGAGTTGGCATATACTTTACCCTCAAATTTTTGAATCAAGATATGAAGATTGTTAAAAGGAGCAAAACATATAATGTTAAATTAAATATATTGAATCATCTCTAAAAGTTATCTCCAAATATTATAATTATCTTCCATGAATATCATATCAATCAACATAATATTGATGTCTGTAAATATGTTTGTTAATAAATTACGTTTTTCAGAACGAATGTGTATCATTTGAGAGTGAATCATTAGAAACTATTATTCGATTGATATAAATTGAGAATTTCTAAAATATCAAAAACCACTATCATTCTAATTTTGGGTTTCTGAGTGAACGTTACTGAACGTCCCCTGTAAGAGCGCTAGAATTGGAATCGCCCCGTATAACCGTCAAGCGCACCCCTACATGCCGCTACCGTTTGTTGGCCCGATGATTTATGGGAAAAGCAAAAAACGCAATGTTCGAGCGTACCGACAAACGGATCCTTGTAAGTGAAATATCTTCTAGTCATTCAGTAATCTTTGACTAAACCAAAGTTGGCTGGCTTAATTTTGATATATCCTACTTTCCCAACTAGAAGGATTAGTTACCTGTGGACAGGTTGGATAAACCTTCATTTTCGGAAATTATGCACAATATCTACATTCAAATTCCGTGTACCGGATTAACTTGAAATGGTTGATAGCAAATAAATATTATTACCTACTAAGACAACAAACTCAACAGTGGTAAACTATTGAGGTCTAATTGATCGTTAAGTAAAATGTCAAAATTTGTTTGTTTGTTGATTTCTAATGATTCAAAATGATTGAGTTTCATTCCTGTATTTTCTACATGCAGAATTTCGAAATTATCATCAAAACTATGGTTTTCTTCTAATATATGGTTGGCGTATGTTGAATTTGTTTTCTTTTTCAAAAAATTCATCTTGTGTTCATGAATGCGCTGATTTTATATGGGTATTTCGATGGTTTTCTGGATGATTTAAAAATACAATTAAACACGGTTAAAACGCGCTACTGTCGGTATGTCAACTGATAAACGGCTTGACAGAAAAATACGAAAGATACTGAGAGAGTGAAAATAGGTGTGAGTATATAATAGTAGCTATAGGTAAGCACACACATTTTAAAAAAATATCAGAATATGTACTGTAGATACGCGTATAGCTCAAAACGACTGCAAAAAATGTCTTATTTTCTTTTAATGGGTACACCAAGCGTGCGAAGCAGGGCCGAACAGCTAGTAAATAATATCGCGAATGGTGGGCATAAGGCTGCGGAATCATTGTTGTTGGGAGATCTAACGTCCCGCGGCTCCACTATGTCGATAGGAGTGCACTCTATGCCGGACAGGGACCTTTAGGGAAGTGTTCAATGTTGAGTATTCAGCCCTCAGAGTAGATAACAATAGAAGGACACGGAGATTCATTCATAAATCATTAAAAAGTCATAATTGCATTGGCCAACTTAAAAAACAGGTTTTTACGAAAATTTGATATATCAAGACATATCAGAAACACATTTTCCTTGTTCTCGAGTTGATTTCCGATCATTGCGATAAAAAAATTGCGCTAGCTCTTTAAATAAAAGAGGGAGGGAAGGATGAATAGTACTTTGGAAAAACTCTTACTACAGTTTGGTATAACGGGATCAAGCGATATTGGTCTCACTATGAAGGGTTTTTTCAGATCTTCCCGGTAAATCACGAATCAAGTCGATTTAAATCCCGTGGTGGCCGCTAGATGGCATCGTTTGAAAAATCAGCCGATTATCCTTTTTTTTTTCGAGGATTTCAAATGGAACCATATATTTTCCTGCTATATGAAAGTAAAGTAAACGAGAAGGAAAATGGTGAAAACCGTGAGTTGAAACCTCTTGAAGAACCGGAGAAATAATCGGATTAATAATAAAATTCAAACTGTTAGCATGTCAAATGCATCCTCATTCGTTATCGGCATTTTGACAAATGAGCAATCCACAATGAACTGTGAAATCTTCCAAAGGAACTTCAATTATATTTTGACGTTCCTTCCATTCAAAGCCAACTTGTCTTTTCTCATTCCTGAGCCAATACTCACTACTTACATTTCAATAAGCTATGTCATTACTAGGAATCTCCTTCACTATTGTGAGATATAACAGCACTTTGTGAAACCAAAATAAATGAATTATTGAAATCATAATTTCATTGATACAGAATATTTCTGGTTACGATTATTGAAGTTAGATTCCTGTGATGAATATTATTTCGAGTATTTCACCAGTTCCTCAAGAGGTATCAATTCGCGGTTTTCACCATTTTTCTTATCGTTTGCTCTACTTTCATATCAGAGTAGAATGAATATATAGTTTCATTTGAAATTTGCAGAAAAAATGGAGAATTTTCTGATTTTTCAAACAATGCCATCTAGCGGCCACCACAGGATTTAAATCGACTTGATTCGTGATTCATCTGGAAGAACCAAAAAAACCCTTTATAATGAGACCAAGATCGTTGAGTTCCGTTAAACCAAACTTTAGTAATGAGAGTTTTTTCAAAGTACTATTCATCCTTCCCTCCCTCTTTTATTTAGAGAGCTAGCGCAATTTTTTTGGATCGAAATGATTGGAAATCAACTCGAGAACATGGAAAAAGTGTTTTTGATATGTCTTGATATATCAAATTTTCATAAAAACCCGTTTATTAAACTGGCCAATGCAATTACGCCCTCTAGGGGCTGTCCTGGAAACTTGAAAATAATTTCCAGAGATTTCTCTTGGCCACTTTCATCATTCGTATTTTTTTTTTTCGAAACCTGTGCGGCAAGTAGTTTCCGAGATACAGCCGGCGTCCTTTCTTAGTGGTACACCCGGTACATACATACCAACGAAGTAACTAACTTTTATTTACACATTTGACACTGCCGAACAATATTTACAAAATAGTCTGCTTCATATTTATAACATTAGTTTCTGAAGGACAGAAAACTGATCACACATAAGCTGGAAAACCACTATAATAACAACAAAAACGATAAATGACATTCCTCACTACTATTTTTGCTCGTCTTCCGTTCATTTGATAACAGCGTGAAATCCCCAATAATATTATAAATGTGAATGTAAGTTTGTTTTTCTGCAACCGACACAAAAGTCGTCCATTTTGATACCAAAATTAGCTCTTAAATTGACGTTTCTATTACTGACACAAAAATAGGTATGTTGCTAGGCAACATATTTAGTTCCTAGGAGCTAAAGTTGAATTTTAGTTCCTAGGAGCTAAAGTTGAACTTTAGCTCCTAGGAACTAAAAAGGATCTACTGGACGTCATCAAGAATAAACTACATTGTGACGGTTGGCTATTTGGGTTGAGACGCATACCTGATTTGTTTCCGATTTCAGGAGATTTGGCATTTCATACCCATGCTGGAGATATGAATACACCTTATTATAGTTTAGTATTGAAATTATAAACATCTCAGTTAAGTATTTTTGTCAGGGAAGCCTTCAAGATTCAAATACTTGCGTGATCTGTATTTCATTCGTTATTCTCGGGATGGATAACTTGTTTTTGAATAATCACGGCAAGCAATAGTTTTTTTGTCTCAAACAACGATATTGTTTAGCTTCATTTGATTATTAAGTAAAACACAGTGTAGTATGGAGAGGAATAAATAATCACTATTATCATTGTTGATATGCTCAATAACCTAACATTTTCCACGTCTTGTTCCTATAGCTGGCACTGGCACGGTATTTGCTATTAGAGCACCTGGTCCATAAACAAATATGTCACTCTGTGATTGTACTTATATTGAAACTACAATTCGAACATCCTTGAAAATTGAATGAACCTGCTGTTGATGCAGGTAGAATGTTCTCACTACACGGATTATTTGTCAATATTTGTTGCATTGCATACATATAGCACGGCATTGGTGGTAACTTCACATATTTATTTGAGTTAATTGTTTCGGTTGCAGAAAAAATAGTATGTTTCATTCGGATCAAAAGTGACTTTGTTCGACTCGCAAATTTTGCTTTCGCTCGGCTTCGCTAAACGCTCCGCCTCGCAAGTGCAAAATTCGCTTGTCAAACAAAGTGTCACTTTTGATCCTAATAAAACAATCTACTATTATTACGCTTTCACGCCATAACAACTCAACCAATTATCATCAAACTTTGTATACATATTCTTAGATGTATTAGAAAAGACAAAGGATACTTTTTAGAAAAAAAAAAAAATTACGGAGGTTGAAAGAATGTATTTTGGTAGACATGATTGTTGGTCAACTTCAACTGTTTAGAATTTTTCTATATTTAATGTTATTTTGTTCTGTCACTTTTAAGCAATACCACGCAATACTAAAACTGTTTCAATTCTTGAGGTTAGGTGTCAGTTTATTGTTTTAGTAATTAATTCAACGCGAGCGAAGCCGCTGTAGTCTATAAAATATCAGTATGGGGTAGTACTTTTGTACCATTAATTATGAATCTTACCGTTCGGATTCGGTAGATATGCCTCAGGTAGTTGACTGGACCATCTCGTACCGTAATTTGTTTGGACGGCCGGAAACAGTTGAGAATTTGTGACAACATTCAACGATGGAGGTGTTCCACATCTCGACACGTGTTCAGTGATGTTCGGCAGATATCCTTGTCTGGCGTTGGTCAATCCTGAAAAGATCACATTCCTCTCACGTATTATGTTTCATAATAATTTGAAGTGAAGAGAATCAAATATGGAGAAATCGTTCATTTGCTGGGGCTTTTTGGGTTTTCACTCCTCATTTGGAAATGAATTACATTTTAGAGTGCCTCGAACATCTCAGTTTATGCCCTTTAAAGAGTGTTTCGGAAATCCTTTTTTATATATTTGAAATTAATGTAGTCTGACCGCGCTTCTATTAGTTGCACTAAAACGACCTATTTACCTGGTGGCGCTGCCCTACCTCAGTTTCCGGATGTTCTTCTACACTATCTACACCGAATTTAGTAGTGAAATTGATAGTGGTCAGGAGACATTGACGCCGATGTAACATGACGCCACATGCAATTTAACCTTGCTTTGCTTTGCTCTATTAAATGCTTATTGTTGGCTTATGAACTTCTGCTACTCAGCTATTGTGCAATAACGGTTTTGGCTAGCGACTTTGGGTGAATTGTGCATGGGTATACCTGGGATTAGCTGCCGACCAAGTTACCACGAGGTACTGACCAAGAGCAGCCCTTTGAGACACCAGAGGCAGTTTGGGCACCAAGACATCTCCAGACCTGTCCCATAAGGGTAAGTCGTTCCATAGTGCAACTCGCTTGTATAAATATATAATTTTTCTTAATTTTTCAATTTTGGATAAAGTACATTTTTCGAAACCACAAAGGCTATCGAATTGCATTCAAAGAGTGAGGATACGTTTGTCACACGCTTGTCACAACTGACAAAGACGAGAAGACATTTCAAGTGTTCTTTCAAGCTTAAAATTCCAATATCCATTATATGGAAATACATTCAATGATATAATATTGATAGAACTGCAAAATGAACATTATGTGCCTTTGCTGTTACGCCACTGTTTGGGTTTCAGATTATAATAGATAGATAGATAGATAGATAGATTTATTAGTCCTTTGTGCTACATTATGTAGATGGGACAGGTCATATTTGTCAGGTATAATATATATGTATATAAGATTAAAGAAAATTTCAAGTAAAAAAATATCACGTGACACACATTGTAAAACAAACAAATACATATTAAAAAAAGTAAGAATAGAATAGATAAGTAAACAACATGCTAAAAACGTTACAATGACAGTGATCTGACATTACCAACTTCAAGTATAAATTCATCTACTGTGTAGAAGCATTTTCCTGATAGAAACTCTTTCAACTGTTGTCTGCATCCGTTCAATGAAGGGGTACAGAAGCAGTCCATCTCTAATGAAACATTTGTCTCATGTATTTTTTTTTTCAGCTGTTCAATAACATGACAAGCGTGTTCTCACTGTTAATAGAGAGTAAAATACGATATTCGAAGCACTTTAGCGAGACCCAACTACTTGCTATGTGAACAAACATTCGATAAATACCCGTTGGTAACCCGGCAACTGCGCTCTGCGCTATCTAACTACAGTTACAAGATGCAAAGCGATGTTTCCACACGTTTTACACTGAATCTCCTTTGGCGTGAGTTGGTAACGCTTCTGACTTATACACTCGAACTTGTATGAAGAAAATATTGTCCAGTTGAGAATGAAGCAACTAGCAACTCATTGTAGGAGAGCAATGAATCATAATTTATCAATGTTATTGCCAGACAATTTTTTTTATTTCTAGATGTACTTTGACTTCTGGTAACTATGTGTTTTCTCACAGTTACAGTCGTAACGTCAGCAGTCATGAGTGGCAAATTTCTTTCTCTCAAAATAGCTTATTGATGAACTGTTCCAAGATGTCACTTCATTCGAAATTCAACTTTTATTAACTTGAAGAGCAGTCGTGAGCAGACTGTCCAGAGGTCAAACAACCATAGGTTGAAATTGTCTTTTGTCAACGCATTGTCAGACGCATTCTGATCGGTCTCAAAACGAATAATTAGTCTAATGATCCCGATGGACGAAGGCAGGCTAACGCTGTTACAGCCTAGGGAACCAACAACCCAGTTGAATTTAACAGCACCAAAACCTGTATTTTATCTAGAAAAAAGCAACTCAGTATGCCTGATATAACAGTGTCTGGTACCACCATTCCCACCAAGACCACTATATCTATGCTCGGTATCACCATCAGCAATTTTCTCCCATGGGAAAATCATATTCGATCCATTGCAAAAGCTGTTCAACAGAAACTCGGATTCTTGAACCGTGCAACAATCTACTTTACATCTCAAACACATTATAGGAATTTCATTTCGTGCGCTCCAAGAGATGAAAAAAAATTACGCGAAAGAATTGTTAGTTCAAGAGTTTGTGAGGAAGGATAGAATATCTACTGAGTCAGAAAATAAATTTAACTAGAATGAAGGGCTTCCGGTTAAAAAAGGATGCCAGTCGTCAACCAAGCCCTTCTTCGCACCCCATTCGATTTTATTATGGAAAAACGAAGTTTTAAAGCAAAAACCAGGATAAAACAGAAATATCCACCTACAGCAACCCATTCGAATTAAATATATTGGCAAAAATTGTGGTGAAGGTAAACTTCACACCTTCTTATACAGGGCCCGCAGAACATAAACTTATCGTGAGATTGATCGAAAGAAAATTGTGGAAAATGTATTTTATTTTGATTGACATGCCGTTTGTAACAATTACCTATATTTATCTTGGAGAATTCCTATTTTTCACCTAAGTGGATCGTTACACTTGAAACCGTAATTTTTAAGGGTAAAACTGCATTTATCATGCGATGGTTTTTTTTGAAATTTTTTCACTCACGTATTTTTTTCTGATAAACCGAATTTTATAATGAAAATGTGAACAAACCACTATTTATTGAGATATTTCAAGAAAAAGTTCGAAATTTCGCCTTCTTTCTCCCCTTGTGTTGGGGGCATTTGAAGTTACTTGCTCTTATTTTGTCATTGGACACTTTATATACTCATGATGTACTTCGATGGCACATTTTTATATAGAAAATTCAACAGGAAATATGATTTTTATGGCGAGTTTTTCATATTTAGTGAACAAGCATCCCAGATGACGACCATTTGATCAATAGTCAATCAAAATACGAGATGTCAAATGTCAATAGATTGCTTTCGAATGACATTACACACGCCATTATTTTGAATGATATTCTTCCTTCTTTTCATATTTATAGTTGAATTATATATAAATTGTCCAATATGATGAAAAAAGAAGGGAAATTTGTTCTAAATGCCATCCAGAAGACAGGTGGAAAAGAAGGTGAAATTTGGAACTTTTTAGTCAAATATCTACATGATAAATATCATGATAAATGCAGTTTCACCTTCTCAAGTAGAGTGTTTGTAGTTCATGTTAATATGATAGTTGCAATTTGATCATTGGAATGAATTCTGCATTCATTGCCACGAGGCAAATGACCGTTTTCAGAAAGAAATTTGAGAATAAGAATTAAAAATGCCCGTTTATTATGAACATTCAAGAAAATTTCCTCGAATTCAGAGATGATTTTGTTGACTATAATATACGAATACAAAACTAACTGCACAATCAAAGCTTTTCTATTTTTCCTCTACTTATACTTTTTATGGAAGAGTAATTGTCTTCTATTATTAATTCATCATTATAAATTAAGCTCTGTTTACTACTGAACTTAGATGGAGTAAAATCCTCGCGGTGAATTGCATATACCCACATTTTCGATAGCTCCTCGTCCAACGGGAAACTAAAAGCATGAACTTTTGAACCACCCACATAATTCCCCCGACAAAAGGGAACACAACACTTGAAAGGCATTGTTATTTCGCCGATCACAACACAAAATATTCCACAAAACAGTAATTTTTCCGCCAATTATTTTGATGAATAAACAACAAAAGAATTCGGGACCGTTTCAAAAACATACGTGAATCACCGATGAATTAACACGAACTGACGCGTTAGTCGACAAGCGATAAAATAAAACACTGGCCTCTCTTGGTGACGTCACGAGCTGTTTACGTCAGAGTCTGCTGGCCTTGTTGTATCGGTGGTAACGGGACGATAGGCCTAGCTGAAGAACTGCTGTACAGGTTTTCTCAGGAAGAGGAGGAAACAGTAGTATATATTATTTGCCACTGAGAGCGCATGTCAAGACTGAATTTCCTCAAGCTGGGAGAGAAAAAACAAAGAGCCCAAGGGGATCAAAAAGCTAGCCTATGTAGTCTTGTGGAGAAGGCGGGGCTAGTCAAAAAACTCTCAATATCCACCACAGAATTATATATTCACCTAGAAAGCCAATACATACGGATGCACGAAAACAAAATTACAAACTACAAATAGGTACGTGCTCTTCTGAGTCTGCGCACTGCGACAGCATCCACGCCAAATCTTAAATGGTTTATGTCATCGATGAGAGTATTAATAAGGAGATAAAATAGAGTACATTAATTCTCTATCAATAACGTCAGGACAGTTATCGGGGAAATATAAAACTATATGATTCAGTGACTATTGTGCAGGAACATTTTACAGAACAAACAGTTTGATATGTCCACTTGGCAACAGTGTGTAAAATGAAGGGCGTTGTCATAGCTGTCGAAGTCACAGTCCACACTAGTTCACAAAGTTTTGTGGTCTGGTTAACATTCTATGTGATTTTAAAATGATTTATTTCAGTGTGACATCACTTGTATATTATAGGAACTACGCATTTCTGTATGAATCCAATAAACGTCTGTATGATGATAACAATCAGAATTTCGGAGATCGGTCCTGACGTCATTCGAATAACGCGGTATCATTGTTGCCAAGTGCGCGAGCTCAGAAGCGCTCGAGCGCGAGATCAATTTAGGTCGATACATTTTTCATGGATTGGCATTGTAGGTAAGTATTCAATTCTGTGACATCCACTTATACTTCAATATAGGTACTACACTCAGTTCCAAAAAAAGTGACGCCCTTGATATTTGACCTATCTTCTTAAAACAAAAATAGTAGGCCGATTTTTATATTTTTTATTTGTTGGTGGGTAATGCATTTGTCTTCAAAAAAACTGAAGAGGTGGAAATTTTGTCAAAGCCTCCTTGATGGTGGTGGAATAACTCGAACCATGATTTATTCTTAATTTTTGACTCACCCTGCGTGTTAATTGAGTGATGGTATACAAAGTGCTTATACCCTATACGAAAGAGGCTTCTTTTGCGAGCATTTTGTTTTTTATTCATTGATTTATCTCTAAAATTTTCCGAATTACAGCTTTTTTTTGCTGAATCCTTGCAGATTATCAACTTTCTGAATTTATCGAGAAACAATTTTCTAATGAAATCAACTGATACCAATGATTTTGAAAAACATTTTTATTAAACACAAAATTATAAATTGGGATGACTGCTTAATACCGTGTATTGCCTCCTCTAGCAACTTCTAATCTACGAGGCATACTGGAAATTGAGTTGCTTATCGTTTCCATTGGTATACGATCCCATTCTTCCACTTATGCATCTGCCATTTCTGAGAGACTTTCCGGAGACCTCTCGCGAGAACGTAGCCTTCTCCCTAATTCATCCCACAAATGTTCTATAGGATTCATATCGGGGCTTCTCGCAGGCCATTGTAATATGGTTATACCAGTAGCTTCTGAGAAGTTTTGCACTATTGCTGCGGTGTGTGGTCGGGCATTCTCCTGCATCAATATAAAATTATTGCCCACTAACTCTGCATAAGGTGAGACATACTGCTCTGAAATGTCAATGTAAATTTGGGCATTCATCGACTGCCTCACCGGAAGAACATAAAGGGGTGTCTCTCCATTCATTGAAATCCCTCCCCACACCATAACGGACCCACCATTAAAACTTTCGCATTCTGTTATTGAATTTTGATTAAACCGTTCACCAGTTCTTCTCCACACTCTTTTTCTTCCATCCACCAAGTTGAGGCAAAACCTTGACTCATCCGTAAACAAAACATTCGACCATTCAGGAATATTCCACTGTCCATAATTTTCAACAAAATTTCTTCTAGCAGCACGATGTTCGGGCAATAATTTGGGACCTTTTGCAGGTCTCCTAGCTTCTAAATAAACTTCTTTTAGCCGTCTACATACCCGTCTGCTTACTTACTACAACATCACGAATTTAGCGAAGATCTTGCTGAACATTTACCGCAGTATTTGATCGATTCCGTAAAATCCGCAATCTCAAGAAGCGATCATCTCTTGGAGAAGTTTTTCGGGGGCGACCAGAACCGACCCTCCGAGCGGTGCTTCCTGTTTGTTCGTACTTGCGGATTGCTCTACGAGCAGTTGCTTCATGAACTCCCACTGCACGAGCGGCGTAACGTTTACTACGCCCATCGTTTACTAACGCAACTAATCTTGCTACTTGTTCAGGATTCATTTGAGGCATTTTATGTAATTTTAGTCGATAAAACAAGACACTTAATTAATGACACAACGACAAATGGTCAAATATGGAGGCATACAACAAATTAGTTGCTATGGCAACGGCATTTGTTTTTTTACAGACAATGTGATCCTACCAGAGTACAAGCCAATCAATTTTGAGTACTCTGATCATTCAATAAATTTAATTTGTGGGATAAGCGTAAGGTATCAGCAAAAAAGCTGTAATTCGGAAAATTTTAGAGATAAATCAATGAATAAAAAAACAAAATGCTCGCAAAAGAAGCCTCTTTTGTATAGGGTGTAAGCTCTTTGTATACCATTACTCAATTAACACACAGGGTGAGTCGAAAATTAAGAATAAATCATGGTTCGAGTTATTCCACCACCATCAAAGGAGGCTTTGAAATAATTTTCACCTCTTCATTTTTTTTTAAAGACAAATGGATTACCTACCAACAAAATAAAATCGGACTACTATTTTTTGTTTTTTTGAGAAGACAAGTCAAATATCAATTGCGTCACTTTTTTTGGAACTGATTGTATTATTTCAACATGTTGAATACGGATGCCGTTACGAAACTCAGCAAACCCAACTTATTTCCCAGTGTTCCACCTTTTTATCGAAACACCCTGTAAACACCCTGTTCAAACCCACCACTCACCTCTCGACCGATGCCTCCTCGATCCGGACTCCTCGTCATCACTGGAATGGCTCGACGCCAAATCCAAACTCCTCCCCTCCGAGCCGTCGGAATCGCTGTCGCTCTCGTCTCTCCTCTCCTCGCGCCCCCTCCTCTCGCGCTTCTCCTCCCTGGCCCCGCCCCCGCCTTCGGGAGGCGGGTCTCTGTGCCTGCGTCCCCCGCCTCCTGCCGTTTCGTGCTCGAAGCCGCGCAGGTAGGAGGGCATGTCGCTGGTGGAGTTGTAGTTCGATGTGGACGTCGAAGTGTGCCGTAGGTGCGTGTCGCTCCTGCATATCGAGGAAACCGTTATCGAACCAGCTTTTCATCGACATTTGCAATTTTTAAATTGATAAAAATCATTTATTTCTATCTCAACTCATCGTATAAATTAGTTCTTTTTTCTACAAACGTCAAGGTTCGCGCATTAATAAAAAAATGCGAAGTGACACTTTTTTTCAGTTTCCTACGTTACTGACAAGGAACATTCTCAGATATATTCATGAACACAAAATATATGTTGTTCCTCCCTTGGCAGTCCCCGCGAGATTAACCCGTCGAGTTGAGACTTCGCACCTCTTCGTGGTCTCTTTGGAGACCTGCAGAACATCTCTTTCCAAAGACTCGTTCATCCATATAACCTCCAGAAATTTAAGAGGAACACCAATTCCTACCTTATTTCGCTTGGTTCTCACGATGTTCTCTGAACATTACAGGATATACCTTTTCGTGGGAACCAGAACATAAAAAAACTATGACTTTCCGCACTTGTTAGGAAAATCACTAGAGTTGGATACCCCATGTTTTCTTCATCGTCCCTACGATTTTTCAGAATCGTGCGACCTCTAGATATCCATATACAGGGTGTTTCACAGGTTAAGGGAAATATTTCAATGGTAGATAGGGGTCACCAAGGTGGTTCTGAAAACACCATATTTGATAGGTCTTAGAGTCTTCATAACGGAGATACAAGGCGATTTATCGATTTCGAATAATTCTTCATTCGTCTATAAGTATTGAACTACCCAGTATATTTTTCTAAAATTTCGTATGGAGCGTATACTTGGGACGTTGAATTCATTCACCTATCGGGCGAAGTGAAAATCCAGGTTCGGCTTCAGGAAAAATTTACATTTATTCGAAATATCAAAATAACACACTGTAAGTAATAATTGACAGAGTTCATCAAAGGAATCGTGAAGAAGAGGAAAAACTGAACTGGATTTGATGCTTTTTGTTTTCCCGCCACCAATTCTCAGCGTAACAATCATAAATAGGAAGCTAAAAGTATGTCAATTTCAAGAGTATCAAAATTATGAAACCACTTCCAATTATGATTATTTGATATATTCTTGTTAAATGATCGTTCAAAAGAACTTACTCAGTCTCACAGTCTTTATAACAGAGATACAGGGTGAATTATCGGTTTCGAATAATTATTCACTCGTCCATAAGTATGGAAATACAGGTTCAGCTTCAGGAAAAGTCTCATAGTCTTTATAACAGAGATACAGTGTGAATTATCGAATTATAATTATTTGGTATTATTTCCATTCCGCCTGATAGGTTAATGAATCCATCGTCCCAAGTAAGCTACATACCATTTGAGAAAACGTTACTGGGTAGTTTTATACTTATGGACGAGTGAATAATTATCCAAAAACCGATAATTCACCCTGTATCTCCGTTATAAGAACTGTGAGGCTTAGTAAGTTCTTTCGAGCGATTTTTTGACCAAAATATATCGAATAATCATAATTGACACTGGTTTCATAATTCCAATACTCTTCAAACTGACATACTTTCAACTTTCTGTTTATGATTGTTATGATGAGAATTGGTGGCGGGAAAACAAAAAGCATCAAACCCAATTCAGTTTTTCCTCCTCTTTCGAGCGATTTTTTGACCAAAATATATCGAATAATCATAATTGACACTGGTTTCATAATTCCAATACTCTTCAAACTGACATACTTTCAACTTTCTGTTTATGATTGTTATGATGAGAATTGGTGGCGGGAAAACAAAAAGCATCAAACCCAATTCAGTTTTTCCTCCTCTTCACAATTCTTTTGATGTACTGTGTTGATTATTAAATACAGTGTGTTATTTTAATATTTCGAATAAATGTAAATTTTTCCTGAAGCCGAACCTGGATTTTCACTCTGCCCGATAGGTGAATGAATTAAACGTTCCAAGTATAAGCTCCTTACCAAATTTTAGAAGAATATATTGGGTAAGTCAATACATATGTATAGACGAATAAATAATTATTCCAAATCGATAAATCGCCCTGTATTTCCGTTATGAAGACTCTAAGACCTATCAAATATGGTATTTTCAGAACCACCTTGGTGACCCCTATCTACCATTGAAATATTTCCCTTTACCTGTGAAACACCCTGTATAGATCGCGTTAACTCATGAAGATACACCCTATCCCAATTCAAGAAACATTCATGGAAAGAAAACTCACCTGTAAGGACTGGAACTAGTCTTAGTAGTAGACCTCGAGGTGGTGCTCGATGCAGATATTCCAATATTTCGTCTGGTTGGGTCTAAGCTTGAATGATATGCCAGTGCAGATCGCTGAAAAAAATTACTTCAGAAACAAATCCAAATACGATATTTGATTTCACTGCATTCCCTACTCAACTTCTAGCAAGTACTTACAGATTGTGCATTGATATTTTGGCTGCTGGTACTAGGAACACCAACTACAGAGGTGGTGTCTATCAGTGGCACTTTTTTACCCATGCATCTCAGTATGGATCTGGAATAAAATCAATTGGAACAAATATTTATAATTCATGAAGTATTATTATCAGTTTTACTTGATTCTTTGGGATTTTCTCTCCTCGTTTCTATAAAATAAAAATATTCGTATTATTTCAATATATTTGTAGTATGACAAATCAGATGATTTGCCCCAAAATGTCACTGCGTTTAACAAATTTCTATCAGGGAGTCTAAAAGAAAATCAAGTATCTTGTCACTGACAATTTGTTTGAAAAAATGTTTGAAGGAAAGAAATATAGATATATTGAGAAAATATCGAATTTTTACTTATCTTGGACGTTTCGGGACCGAATCTGCTCCCGTTCTCAACATATAAATGCAAATTATGTTTCTTTGAAAGTTGTGCTGCTTATAGTTTGACACTTTTCAGTGTCATACTGATGTTGGCATATGAATGAGTGATTTTAGTATACAAATGAGTTACACAAATGAGTTACAGGATGTTTTCATTAATTGATCTTGAATCTACCACTTTCATGTTCAGCTTTCAGTAGTGAATACCATGTTCTATCTATATCAACTGAACTGGAAGCAATGCTATTGTGTCCGTTTAGAAGAATGCAAGCGGATTCCTTGATTTTTCTTTTTTGGTTGTTATGTTCCTTTCCTATGATTTGCATTCTTCTAAACGGAGACGATAGCATTGCTTCCTGTTCAGTTGATATAGATAGAACATGGTATTTACTACTGAAAACTGAACATGAAAATGGTAGATTCAAGATCAATTAATGTAAACATCCTGTAACTCATTTGTAGACTAAAATCACTCATTCATATGCCAACTTCAGTATGACATTGAAAACTGTCAAACTATAAGCAGCACAACTTCCAAAGAGATATATTTTGCATTTTCATCTTGAGAACGGGAGCAGATTCGGTCCCGAAACATCCAAAGATAAGTGAAGATTCGATATTTTTTCAATATATCTATTTTTTTCCCTTCAAACATTTTTTCAAGCAAATTGTCACTGACAAGCTACTGGATTCTTCTTTTAGATTCCCTGATAAAAAAATTTGTTGAACGCAGTGACATTTTGGGGCAAATCATCTGATTTTTCCCACTACAAATATATTGAAATAATACGAATATTTTTATTTTATAGAAACGAGGAGAGAAAATCCCAAAGAATCAAGTAAAATGAATATACCACCTCCTCGATTAACCTACAGACAGTATTTATTATCATCAATACCAAGAGCAGAGTTCGACATTGCTATTTTTGATCTGGATGATTACTTGACTTTCTTGAATTTTCGATTTCATTCAATTGAATTCAACATAGAGAAAGAAATCAACGGTAGATCGTCTTTCTGTATATACTAGTTATTATAACATGAACATGAATATATTAGAATTTGATATTCAATGTGAAGAAATATGTTTTAACAATTTTTACAACACACATTTTCGGCTTTGAACCGTTTATTCCATAGGACATAATTCTTAAAAATACTGTTGGTGAATTTATGCGGCAGTTTTAAGTTATAATCATAAGTCATAAGTTTTACCCACTCACTGAATCGAAAGTAGGCGTTTGCTCCCCCATTCAAGGAAACAGAGATGTCAATACTCCCACGGAAGAAAAAAATATCAACTCCCGTGGGGCAAAATGAATTTGCTTCAGCATGAATCCTTCGGCGTCGATATACCTATAAAATCTGTGCAATCCAAGTAAACAGTGTCTTTATCACTATTATGAAACAAGTAACAATAATATCCTTTTTGAAATCTAATGATATTATGCGCTTCTTCATATTCTGAACGTACTTCTAATCAAAACTTTCAAATTCAGTTACACAATATACAATATACAAATCAATCAACTTGAAATGACAGAAGTGTCAAGTTGACCTTACTACTTACTATACCCTATACCTTTGTAATGCATAATGATTTGGATCGAGAAATAGACCGCCTGAAGCACAATTTCAAGAATGATGCTTTAAAAGAATGCGTTCGATGATGAAATCATTTATATAACATGGGAGCAAAGGTTCATTTTCTCCCATGTGTATTATGAGCTTATATCGTCATAGATAAGCAATTAATAAAGAACTCCCTTGGGACATTGTAGATTCTATAATTCCCTCTACCTTGATAACAAAGTACTGTTTATAAACAAGAAACAGAAACAACCCATCAACAACAAAACTGTTATAATCAAGGGTACCTGATACAAATATAGCGGGAAGGTAATGAATTGGTAGGGTTTTGAAAATTAACAAAATTTTACTGAAATCGGTCAGAAATACAATTATCTATGTACCAAGGGAATTAATGATCCTTAATAAGCTCAGGCAATTGCTGACCCTCTTTACGCAAACTTTGCTATCGGTAATTGAGGCCCTTTTTTTTATCGATTGGAGCGCACGAAAGGGAATCCCTATAATGTTCAAAGAACATCGTGCGTTCCTAGGGAGGATAGGGACAGGAGGTAGGTATTGGAATTTTTTTTGAGTTTTTGGAGATTATATGTTGTTGGGAATACTTCCACAGGCAATGAATTCCAGAGCCTAGCCGTTCTATGGATGAAGGAGTCTTGATAAAGTGCTGTTCGACATCTTTCGAGGTAGACGACGAAAGGATGTGCTGACTGGGCTTGTCTAGTTCGTCTGATTGGTATTGCTAGTGAAGGGATGATAGCAGAGATTTCCGAAGAACATTTCCCGTGGAAGTATCGATAGAAAAGTGAAAGGTCGCCGACCTTCCTACGGTGTTCCAATGATGTCAAAGAGTGAGTGAGTGTGGCGTCACCCACCAGGCGAATGGCTCTTCTCTGGATGGAATCTAAGAGTATCAGCGTATGTTTAGGTGCTGAACCCCATATGTGGGAACAGTATTCTAGAACAGGCCGTATCTGCGCTTTGTAGATCATGAGAAGCTGTTGAGGTGTAAAGTAGCTTTTCGCACGGAACAAGAATCCGAGTTTTTGTGAAGCAGCTTTTGCGATGGATCTGACATGATTATCCCATGAAAGAGTGTTGCTGTGTTGCTGATGGAAATACCTTGTTCCCTTCATACATATATAACTATTACGTAACAAGGGAAAACTGATTGTTTATGCCTGAATCATAAGGTATTGCAGAATGCATTCGAAGTTAATTTTTAGACGTTTTTATGCGAGAAGGAATTGGGGAATGTCGCACCAGGGCCGGATTGAAATATGTTCATTTAAAAGCCTTCAGAATACCAAAGTTGGTGATTTTCAGAAAGAAGTATATTCCTAGATAGCTCAGTAACCTACAGTTAGATGGACTTCAAAGAAGAAGGCGATGGCTGCCCACCGGAGGATGCGGGATTCAGTAAACTGGGCAAGTGAAGGGACAATAACACGACATGCAAAAATAGCAAAGCAAGCTCAGCATTGGTACAGGAATGTGGAAATGCCCTTGAGATATTAGCAGAATCAAAGGAAGTCGAACTGGTATGGGTCTCGGGTCACAGTGGGGTGCCCGGAAACAGCAGACGAACCTGCTAGAGCCAGATCCGTGGAGCCGTTTCTGGGACCGGAGCCTGTACTAGGTATAGCAAGTAGCCAAATTACGTCAGCCCTCGATGAATCACTTATGGGAATAGAGGAAGACGGGGAAGACGAGGAAACGTCACTCCATTTTCTCGGCGAGTGCGAGGCGTACGGCAGGTTGAGATTTGAAATCTTTGGAGTAGACAAACTCTAACAGGATGACTTGATTATATTAGAGTGGACGGACATACTGAGATTCGTGAAGAAAATCTAGGTGAAGGAAGGGTAGATATGTGTGTTACACTTCGTTCATGACGTTACGAAAATACTGCAGAAACAGAGCTATGCATTATTGTTTACCTACTTTTCACTCTCTTTTTCATTGGTTCATAATTGAATTCATCTGTGATGTTTACTACTGGCTATCGATTGGTATTTCTCTGTTCGTTGTTATTGATTCTGACTCAATTTTTGCTGTGAATGAGGAATAATATTGTGATTTCTAGCCTACTAGTTATCGTTATTGCATACCTCTTGGTCAGAATGTTTTGTTCACAAATTTTGGTAGGTAGTTGGTTCCTGGAATTGTCGCACACGACTGATTCAGTCCAAAGGTATTTCGCCAAATTTCATCTTGAATTTCAAGTATCATTCTTGTAATTATTGTTGCCGTTATATTTTCAAATAAATATCATTGTTATGTAATTATTGTAATTATTGAAAATGTCACTGTCAGCTTGATGACGTTTAGTCTCTATTGACGGTAATGACACTAATGACGGATGACCACTATCTGCGAACCTCTGCACGCATCTTCTCGAATTTTCAACATTGTCATCATGGAACATTGACCCATAGTTCCCTTGCTATCATCACGAATACGGGTTCTAACGGCTCACCATCAGCACCATATCTCGTTATGATGATTTGGCACTCTGTATCTTCGCCATTATGTACATGTTCGTTGATTTGGCACTAATTCCTTGTAAGTATGGGCGTTATGGGTTATGTTACATGGTGATAAAGGGTCATCGCACGGGAAGAAGATGATGACGTATTTCGCCCCACTATTCAGGTCTACAATGATCCTCAGTTGCGCATGACCGCGTTTGAATATTTGAAGTTTCAAATCCAAACAATAATAACTGGCAATAATATATTCTGACTTGAAATAAATGGTGATTTAATGATATTCCTTCTTTTCTGATGGTCTAGACACCTCTCTTGATATTATCGACATAGTTTTCACTACCATGGTGAGGTAGAAATGCCATGTACAGGGTGTTCGCGGGGATATCTCCCGCCTATAATTTTATGTCGTCCGGTGATTGATGTGTGTGGGAGTATAGGGGAAGATACACAAAAAAGGGTGATCTTCCGGTGAGATGTGGCAAGGACAGCCCCTTCGATCTTCATAGGCACCATTTTGTCTGCAGCAGTCTACCAGCCTGGTCACAAAAGTAAGCCGTGAGATCTGTTTCGATTTTCCATTACTTAGTGTTGGGATTAATTAGGAAAAGATCTCAAATTTGGGATATCCATTATCATCGCTGGGATGATGGGATTCCTGTTGCCTCTATAGAGGGATTCTTCGTGGCTGAAATCCACGTGGCCGAGCCGACCTGCATCACCACTTCTGGAACCCACACAACATCCAAGGTACTATATATTCTTTTAATCATCAGCTGCTATTTTCTTGTCATTCCTTGTGTTGGTAAAATAACCCACGATTGTCGTCATTCCATATAGGGTTCCTTTTATCGGGCCAAAGCCTCCTCTCCCGACTGTCGCACTCAAGTTTTGCGCCCCATCAGCTCAGACCTGGGACTGTCTTGCAGTCGTCGGCAGTCAACGCTTCGCTGCGTCAATTCGCGTTTTTGGGGCCTGCTCGTTTGTGGCTGAAGGGCGACACATAGGAGACACCACCTGACAACGCTGCCTGACTTCACCTGATCCCCCTGTACATCAGGACCTGCTCATAATTTGGTGAGTTCGTTCCATGCACCATCAGGGATAGCATTTTACTTGGGATAAACTACCACCAACCATAATTCATCAGTTTTAAATTTCATTCAACATAATATAATTGCAACATGTCTTTGATTTAATAGACACTCAGTATAGCTACAAAATATACCCCTGTAAACCAAAAGTGCACTGCGGTAAAATAGGCCTCATTATTTCTTTTGTCTCATTGATACTGATTTACTGAGTTATTTTGTTCTTTAATAAGTTATATATTATCATAATGTCTCAGAGAGTTGATTTTGAGCAGTAATTGTATTATTTCACACTGATCTGAAGAGTGATTTCAGTCAGTCAATTTATATTTCTTGATGTTGCAATAATAATTGTACACTGCTTGAGTAATATTGATATTGATACTAAGTTACTTTGAAGTCTTGAGCTAGTAACATTTTGAAGCACATTATTTGTCATTTCAGAATTTACTTGTGATTAAAAGCATATTCATCCCTATCAAACTTAGTATTTTACTAAGCCTAACGTACCCACCCATTTGTCCCGCTGAACTACCAGTGTCTAGTTTTCTACGGTATCAAACTGGGCACTAAAAAAACACTTTTTCTGTTGTCAATACAATTAAGATTTAAAACACCTAGTAAATCTTAGGTAATATCCATCAACCAAACTCAGGGGTAAATAAAATTCTATTCCATTTTTTTTACTACTAACCCCCTGAGATTTAAAGGAATAACATGTGGAGAGCAGGGGTTAGCGAAAAGGGCCCATTGGGGCCTACTTGCTTGGCTACAGCCTCCCCACCTACTACTACTACAGCAGATTCCTAGAGTATAGACAAATCGGCCATATTTTGCTGAGTTTCGCTAGCGCCGCCTACAAACCACCCAAGAATTGGGGCCAAATTTGGCTTCAATATTTTACATGGACGCAGGGTATAACATGAAGTTGAAGTCATGTTGTAGCCATATTGTGGCAAAGATCTAAGGTAGGATACAAAGATCGTGACACACACTGTATGGCGCTGCCATCTATAGTCACACGTACATACTCCTACGTCTATACGCTACAGAGTGGTACTACAAGTAAATCACTCTGCTGACAGATGGCACTACCTGACATACTTGAGTGGAATTCTTCCACCACCTATTCAACTGTTAAATCTAGCAGTATTTTACATGGAGGTGGATCATCTTGTTAAGTGTAAATAATCAAGGATATGAACAAACCTTATATCTCAGAAAGTAAAGCATGACACCTGCGCAAAGCAAATCAGTCATAAGTCACAAGTTTCAATTCTTGAAAGATTAATGTTGGGCAACTTCTCTCATGAGTATAGACTAAAACTAAAGACTTATGACTGGAACTTGAGAGTTATGAAAAATTTTAAAAACATTCCGGAACAAAAAATCAATGATTCAACTACCTTATGATTTATTACTTAAAACTTATCACTGAAACTATTTCATAAATTCACCATGTGTATTTGAAATCCACACACTTTGCAGCTACCGATAATGATATGAATACCAACCTCAGAAGATTTTGTCTCACTCTATTGTTGGCGAAACAGTATCCAGCTAAAGAAAATCCTGCATGCACCAATACGGCCAAAGATAAAAATGGCGTCAAAAGTGGATGTCTTTCAGATGCGTCCAAGAGTGCCAGCACCCATGTAGCTCCAAGCAAAGGGAGGGAAATTACAGAAACCCACAAGAGTGTCCTAAAAATAATCACATCATCAAGAGCTTTCGATAATAGATATTCAACCAATTAGTTTATTAATGAGGGCAGGGCGATTAATGCATGTTTGAGATCATTATTCGCCTTATTAATAATTATAAGAGTTGGTTACAAAATGTTTCCGTCGACTATATTCCTCCTACAATGAATATGATTTGCGAATCGTACTACTGACACGTGAGGTCAAGTTTGAAGAACTGACAGGAATACTAACTCTTCTTCTCTGTTAATGTAAGATGTGCTTGCATAGTCCCACATTGAGAGTTTAAACCGTAAGACTACTATACCTTAAGCTGATTATGATTCATCAGAAATGTTTTGAAATTTTTAGAAATTTGGAATTTGTGACTTTGACATACACTTCATCGTTCCGATAACGCCAACTGGTGAAACTGAAAATGTTAGCCCTCATATATTATTCATCCGGAAACTACTAACAATCACCCTGTAGCCATGAAAGTCAACTTGTTACTGACATTAGTGACATTTGATATTATTTGTCGAAATTCTCAACATGGAAAATAAATTCCTTTTGTATAAAGCGGGCGTGCCCAACCAAACTTTTTTCGTTTCGTATATTGATTGGTGAAGCTAAGTCTGGAATTAAAAGATGAAAATAAACAAATACTAAATACTTGTGAATTCATTGATGGTCTAACCAACCCAATATTTTCTTCATTTTGGATTGATTTTTCTTTAAGGAGCAATTCACTCCTCTACCAGTTCTCATGAATATTATTCATTATTTGAATGATTTTATAGTTATGATTATTTCACTTTATTCTTGGATGAAGCACAATGATAAACTAAAACTTTCAAAAGCAAACCCGTCATCGTAAAATCTTCGATAGAACCCATATTTTCGATTCAAATGCAGATTCCGTAAGTTATAATCATAACAGTGAAAGGACGTGATGTATGTTTAGTTGCCTATACCACAATTGTTCGTTAATAGACAAATTGACGGGCCTAATGCAGAAAGGGTATGATTTCAAAATTTTTATTTTCGGTGTTATTACAGATTTGTATACCAAAGACCAAGTTCTTTTAGTGCATAAACAATATACATCTACGAGCCAGTAAATATACTCACTCACAGAGTTTGTGAAAATGATTTCTGCGAAAACGGTCTCTACTATACTCATACCGGTCATCAACTTTAGATTCCTGTTCTGTACAGGTTATCCCAATTTGGGCACTTTTGCGGGGTATCTTCCTTATCAGTAAAGATTGCGGATTTCGCGACAGTATGCTACTTTTTCACGAAATTAATAATGGCGGAAGCAGAATTGTGATAGCTACAGATACAGGGTGGAATAAAAAAATATCACTTTTCGGGCACTCTGGAAATAAATTCCTGCACTTGAAAAATAATCACAAATAATCAGAAACTGACAATAGCGCGTGAAGTTTTTGACATTTTGCGTTTTGTTCCAAACAAATTAGCCATAGCCTACCAATTATAATTAGACACAGAAGAACATTTTTGAAAATCTGAAATACTGAGCTTGTTTTTGAAAATAGTTGTATACAATCAAATATATTGGGGAACGCCCACTTCATGCTTAATGAATATATGAAATAATATACAGGGTGTTCCATAAGAAAAATATGTTTGCTCCATAACTGAAAAACAAAAGGTGCTAGCAAAAATATAACTACGCCACTGGATTCTACGAGATAAACTCTATAAGAACAAGTTTCAACTTCTTCGATAAGTTCAGAGATAACTGAGACAAGGGGGAGTGCCTGAAATGTGATATTTTTCAATTCCACCCTGTACCTCAACAACCGGAAGAGCTATCACAATTTTGCTTGCGCCATTATTAATTTCATAAAAAAGTAGCGAAAACCGCAATGCTCTATCTTTACTGATAAGGGAGATAACCCGCATATGTGCCCAAATTGGGATACCCTGATACATCTCACAAAAGAGAGTCTTGTTTAATTCGTTTTCTTCGTAAAAAATACTGTTCTGGCTCATTCCAGTCTCTCTGTTATTGTATAAAATCGGTTTATTTATGTATCAACAATCAACTTTAGACCCTCATTGCACCGAAAACATTATTTGGCACTTATACCCTTTCACCACTATACGCTTCAATTGATCGTTAATTGAGATCATTAACGATCAATTTCTAGTAAATTAATCAAACGTGCTGATACGAAGTCCACGGAAAATTTAATTTCTCGATTTCCTTACCTGAGATTACCGAAGCCTAGTACGTGATCTTGAAGAGTGAAAGCCGCTCTGATGGAGAATACAAGCACGAAGAGGTTGATTAGGACTAGGAGACAAATTGGGCCGACCAGACTCCAAACCACGCTTTCATGAAGTGATACCCAACAGCTGCAAACAAATCAATATTGTTATTTTCTCAATTTCATGGTATCTCGTGAAAGTAGTAAACTGCTCAACGCTATTGCTATTTTCAGTGTCCTTTCAGTTTCAGTTCATGTCATTGACTATCGAACCTATGGGATTGATTATTGCATCTCTCCAGAATGAGGTGAAAAACATCGCATCATCCGTTTTCTGGAAACGGTTTGAGAATTTTATTCTCATTATCATCCTGTAGCTTCTCATTCTGAAGAAATGCAATATTAATTTCTATAGGCTTGATAGTCACTTATAATCTCCCTAGCAGCAGAATTTCCGATAATGCTATGAAGGTCATGAATGTGTTTGTCTTCAACTCGGGATAATTTTCTATCAACAAAAAACATGAGTGAAAATATCGGGAATAAATTCTGCTGCGGTAAGAATATTTCATGAATGCTTTTAATATGATCAGAAAATGAACCCTACGACTTATTCTGCGTAAATGTCAAATGAAATTTGAGACTCGTTTTTACTACCAAAATGTGAAAAACATCAAATAACAAATTTGTTATCTGAAATCCAAAGTCTTTATAGTATTATTTCCGATGAGTTTAGTCAAATATGACGCACTATATTTTTACAATAGAAGTTGATTTTACTTGTTAGTAACTAAGGTTTATTAGTGAATTTCAGGTACATTTAAAACGTTAGTTCGTTTTCAACTATAACATCTGATAGTTTCAAATGGAACTTAAAGAAACATATTTCCGATGAGTTTAGCGACGCACTATATTTTTACTATAGAAGTTGATTTCTCTTGTTAGTTACCAAAGTTTATTACTAAAATTTCACGAACATTAAAAACATTACAAATTCTTTGTCAACCGTAACATCTGAAATTACATTTCTACATAGTTTCAAATGTATTGCCAATAGCTTGCTATAAGGCGTTTCATTTTTGACAGAAAAAAGATCACTTATTTTCATCATTTTTTTATGTTCTGCTTCCCACGAAAAGGGATATCCTGTAATGTAAAGTAAGACAGGAATTGGTGATCTTTTCAAATTTCTGGAGGATATATGCCTCGGGGAACACCTCTCTTGGCAATGTGTTCCAAAGCCTCAATGTTAATTGGATGAACGAGTTTTTGGAAAGAGATGTTCTGCAGGTCTCGAAATTTGCCACGAAGGGGTGCGAAGCCTCAACTCGACGGGTTAATCTCGCGGGGACTGCCAAGGAAGGAAAAATTGTTGATATTTCAGAAGAGTATCGTCCATGAAAATATCTATGAAATAGAGCCAGATCGCCAACTTTTCTACGGTGTCCCAGAGAAGTGAGTGAGTGAGCGAGGCATTACTCACGAGCCGAATCGCCCTTTTTTGGACAGAATCCAACAATTTCAGGGTATGTTTGGGTGCTGCACTCCAAATATGGGGACAGTACTCCAGGACAGGTCGGATCTGTGCCTTATAGATCATAAGCAGCTGACTGGAAGTGAAATAGCTCCTGGCTCGAAACAGAAAACCAAGTCTTTGGGATGCACTTTTAGCAATTGATCTCACGTGATTTTACCAAGAAAGGTTATTGCTGATAGTAATACCAAGCATCGAAATGGATGTCCTCAAAGGTATGGTTACTCCTGACAAGCTTATGTTGGGCACAGTGAGATCGACTTTTCTAGAGAAAAGGCATGCTTGTGTTTTGTTTGCATTGAAATCTACCAAGTTATTGGATCCCCATTCGAGAATTGTTGCCAAGTCCATATTTATGTTGCCAACATTTCTCCCTCGCTCGTTTCTGATTTGCCTGGCTGGAATTGGAGCCTTGGAAGATAAGGCCATGAAGTTAATAGGAACTAATAAAGTTATCGATATAATCTCCCGTTGATATAAGCAAAGTAAACAAAAAGGAGCCTTCTAATTGGTTGAAAATAAATTTATCAACTTTTCATTGGTACGAACATTCAGAAACTGAAAAGAAAGGCAGTCGAAAATTTTGGTGAATCAAGATTGATCTAAAAATTTCGATTTCACGTTTCAACTGTTGAGCAGTTTATCCCTAACACCTAAAGACTTGAAACTTTTCGTATGTAATACAAGTGTATTGATGATTATCAAAATACAAATCCCTCCGATTTTGAGAAACAAATTATGTTCCTTGGCAACTCACGACATTTTGCGGCGTTAGATCTTCAATTTCATTCCGTATTACTTAGAGATTGTATTCACCGAAACGGCTTTTTTCATACATTTTGAGTGTTTATTGACTTTTTTATATCAACACACTTTGATTCCTGCCACAGTCCTCTTAATTCAAATAAGCTGTAGTAACCCCGCTTCATCGCGCTCCATCAACCATAGACATTCAACAGAACGCTTATGCAACTAACAAAACTATACTGAGCATTGTGGATAAGAGAGATATGTTCGATAGGTTTGCGGCTGCGGTATAGTCGACGCGTCGACTATGCGTCGACGGTCACAGACAGCATTATTTCAATTCACGGGCCGTTTTGTCGTGCAAGTAAGGTTATGTCAAAGTTATAATTCAATTATTATTTAGAATTCAACGAATATGGTTGGATCTATTAAATTTGAAATAATAGTGTGTACCTATCAAGTTTTTGGCAGAAGTTTGAAATACTAATTGTGATTTTGTAATTATACAGGGTGTTTCATAATTGAATGTCAATATTTGGGGAGGCGATTCTTGGGCCCATTCTGAGAAGAAAGTTTCATATGAACGTATGACCTAAACATCCTAACTTTCGAGATACAGGGTGGTAAAAGTTCTCAAAAATTAATAGTTTTTTATTAATATCTGTAATACCACTCCAGATATTCTATTGAAATTTGGCATACATGTACTATGTATCAAGAGGTATCAGTTGATGTACCAATTTTTTTATTAGTTGCCACTATAGTGGCGTTCGAATGGAATTCATACCTATTTTGTCAGACATTGATGGTACGCCACTGATTAATCTCGAAATTGAAATGATTCCTGAAATTCCCAATCATTTCTAAGCAAATTTGATCACAACAATTTTTTCAATCTGATGCACGGTTTTCGCTCAAAAAAATTGAAAAGCTTTTCACTACATGATTACAGCAATATCGTTAATATGACAATATCACAATGCAGATATATATTTCATTTATTAGATAAAATTTCAAAAATACAATATTGTAGTTTATGAACTTCGTATTCCTATTTGGTATTTTGGAAATATAACTTTTCAGTGCAGTAAGCTATATCAATTTTTGAGAACTTTACCACCCTGTATCTCAAAAGTTAGACGATTAGGTCATACGTTCATATGAAACTTCCTTCTTCGAATGGGACCAAGAATCGCCTCCTCGAATATTGACATTCAATTAAATACCCTGTATAATGAGAGCATCGACAGTCTTCCGGCAAGTCATTAATATTTTTTGTTTCATAAACTGCCAATGAGGAAGCGAAATTCAAAATCGAAAACATCATGTTTTCGATTATCAATACAGACATTTCAACCAATCAAAAACGTGTATTTCATAATGAGTGAAATAATCGATGTAATCGGTACTTACAAATAATAATTCCCGTATTGATGGGCACGAACGCCGACCGACAAACTAACGACCACTGCAGGACCGACGTAGCCCATGCTGTAGTAGAACCGCATCGGGCCGTGGTTGATGTCCCGCATTTCGGTCAACATCCTGTACAAATGGACGGCGTCCACCAACATCCATGAAAACGCCGCCAGCCACAGATAGTGCAGACCGATGGCCACTAATTTGCACGAAAACTTGGGGGAAATGAGGAAAATTAGTTTTTTGTTTTCGATTGACTCGGACAGTGATTAGGAAATCCAAAGTTAATGAAATAACTTCACAAAAGATGTTTCGTTACAGATGTAGCTTCTAACGGTGCCAAAACTCGTATAATAAAGTGGCTTTTTTCCACCACTAGCTCTAGATCCTACCTCTTTTACTACCAAGGTAGTTTTCGTCATTTCATGAACCACTAGACAATGAAGACATAGCCACCTCTGATATAATTAACCTGAATTGACTGTTCTCATGTGAGATTCGCAAGAATGGCACTCGAATGATCAATAACGACTTGTCATATGCTGTCTGATCATGGCTACTAGATTTTAATCAGAATTGAAAAGAAGTGCTTTCATAGTCACAATAGGTCCACATTTCAGTTCCACAGAACTATAGTTGTTGAAATATCCTGCTAGTGGTGAACAAAATTTAATATGCACCTTGGTAGTAAAGAATGATATTACCACGGGACCTTATACCCCTCGGGATATAATCTTGGTCCCTCGGGAATACTGACATTCGGGTCGATTCTGTTTGCAAATAACAATATGGCTGTCAAGAAGATATTGCTATTATAGCAAGATTCGAAAAAGTGGAATTCTGATCATTGATTTTTGACAATATTCAATTTCAATGACATCTTGTTAGCTTTCTTGCTATCTCGGCAACATCAATTTTGAGCTTGCTGTCTTATGACAAGGTAGAAAATGGCAGTGGATTCTTTGTTTGTGCACTACAATTTTTCCAAGTGTTTGAAAATTGAAAACAGGTGGTTATGAACATATATTATGAGAGTTGGCTTGTGTGACTAAACTTAGTACCTACACCTTTCCTTAAAGTTTCGATTTGCAAAGGAATTATTGAAAAATTTAGAAAAAAGGTGATTATAAACATAGGTTCACTTGTCTGACCAACTACTTGAAAACCTTTCCTTGAAGTTTCAATTTGTAGAGAATTCATATGCGAATACAATTTCGGCATATCATCAGAGGAACCAGCAAATCCTTCCAGATGGGAAGATTATCAAGCGATTTGCTTCAATAAGCCAGCAAGACTGAATCGAGTTTTTTTCCAAAAAAAATTCGGGGAGATGATTGATTTCTTGCACCACTTGCACAACGAAGACCAAATTCAGCATCAGCAAATACAAAAAATCTGTCAATTTGAATAATGTAATGTTCAAAAATGTCAGTGCAGGACAGACTAATTTAAGAGGTTAGATATAAACTCTTCTTCATAAAATAATGGCAATAACGGTACCTATTACTTAACGAATGAGTTAAAAACGGTGTTGTCAGCTCAAAAATTCTCCAATTCCCAACAATATTGCTATCACTTAAACTAATAACCAATCTTGCAGTTTCTGTCCAGATAGAATACAGAATAGCCTAGCAATGTTGCTATACATTATGATCATAGCAATATTGTTATCTTAGCAATGTTACAACAAGATCCGAACAGAATCGACCCGATTTACTTCCTTGGTGTATAAATAACTACTTCCTGAGACCGGAAAGTTCTACTTTGTCTGACTAGGCAGGAAAAGTTTGTTGCTAGTCAACGTTCCAAGTCATTAGAATAAAATTGGTAATCAAAATTGACACTGACAGTGGGTCAACAGAAAGTGATGGAGTTTTCAATGAAAAAATTACACAAAATTGCTTCTATAACATTTGGAGAAAAAATTATATGTTCCACACGGCAGCAAATGTAGATTGAATGCTATGAACTATCAGCCGCAGTTGTCAATCTACTACTTTCCTGCCTAATAAAACAAATAACTATTTTCTCCAAGCGGCAGGGGAAGTGGCTTTTCTATAACACTCAACAAGCAGTAAAACAAATAACGATTTTTGTTCTCGATTGACTCGGTCATTGATTGAAGGAAATCCAAAGTTAATGAAACAAAAGGTGAGGTGAATTCGTACAGCTGTTGCTTCTGAAGGTGCCAAAACTCGTATAATAAAAAAAATACATTTACTTTCTAGCCCAGTGAAACGGTAACGATGAAAGTTTTCTCGTGACTATTCCACTCATGGCCTCTGGGATCAATCAGAATCGGCCATTTCACGGTTTCTTCTGTATTACAGCAAATTTTTTTTGTGAACTAAATTTTATCGGACTTGCTCTACCAATACAGGCTTAATTCCGAATTCAACTGGTCAGTACTGTCAGTAAATCCACTGACTCCGCTGAAAATCTGTATTCCGAAATATAAATTCAAAAATTTAGTACTGTAATTCGGAACATGTTTTCATGGTTTTCATCAGTAATCAGCAGAAGTTGATCAGCTGGTCAACTTTGTCAGTTGTCAGGTTGTCACTTATGTATAGTTTCTCGTTCATCATTCCTTCCTCTCTAGGATAATGACAGTTTACCGACAGTTTCATATTCCGGGTGACCAGTTATTCTGACCCATTTCAACTGCTCATATCTCCGAAACTATTCAAATTATCGTTGTGCGGTTTGGACTTCTCTATTTTGATATTCTTCAAGTTTTTTGACTGGTTCACCTTCTCACCTGAACTTCCGGTTCTACCGGAAACAAACAAGCCATTATTCAGGTGTAGGGCAACTTTGATAACATTGCATAATCTCATTAAACCATTCCACAAGCAGTAGTTGTTTCAAAGAGTTATAACTCTAATAGTTTTCTAGGAGAACATAACTTGTAATACATTGTTAGATAGAGAAAAGACCAGTCTTTCTGAATGTGCAAAAATATACAGGGTGATTCAATGAAATAAAAAAGTTGCCCTATACCTGGATTATTGCTTGTTTGTTTCCGGTAGAACCGGAAGTTCAAGTGAGAAGATGAACACGTCAAAAAAAAACTTGAAAAACATCAAAATAGGCTAGTCCAAACCGCAGAACGATAACTTGAATGGTTTCAGAGATATGAGCATTTGACATGGGTCAGAATATAACTGGTCACCCGGTATTTTCGGGGATGATGAATCCGAATCTGAAGTTTGCAAACGAAATTTCCTGGAGCGTTCCGAGATATTCCGTTTTTTGCTCGTTACTCGAATATAAATATTTTTATGAGAGATTGCATATTTTGATGCTCTAATTTCTAATGGCTGTAGTAGAACCGCATCGGGCCGTGGTTGATGTCCCGCATCTCCGTCAACATCCTGTACAAATGGACGGCGTCCACCAACATCCAAGAGAACGCCGCCAGCCACAGATAGTGCAGACCGATGGCCACTAATTTGCACGAAAACTTGGGGGAAATCAGGAAAATTAGTTTTTTCATTTCGATTGATTAGGTCATTGATTAGGAAATCCAAAGTTAATGAAAGAACTCCACAAAAGATGAGGTGATTTCGTTAAAACACCGTAGCTTCTGAAGGTGCCAAAACAATAAAGAAAATACATTTTTCTCCAAGCGGCATGGAAAGTGGCTCATTTCCACCACTAGCTCTAGAACCTACCATTGAGATGCTGACATAGTTAGCGAAACACGTGTCGAGGCGTTAAAAAATCGGTTTGGTTAGTGGTAAAACAGTGTAGTGTATTATCGTGCCAAAGGTTCCAGTCTTCGATATATTCTTATAATGAAAATAAAGAAGCAAATTCAATGCCTTTGACTTTTGAACTGCAATACACAAGGCTGGACAAGAAATAATATGACAATATGAACATGTGCAGGTGGGTAATTTATGGTTTTATTTGTAATGCGCTTGCCTTCTCTAAATCATATTGATATCTTGTTTATGGCATCCTGCCTAGGCCTTTATAGATTTCTATTTTTTAGTATCATCTCTGTAGTTAAATAGCCAATGCAGATTGCATGTACTTCGAAAACAATCAAGTTAGAATACAGCTCCCTATTACATTCATATGAGCAAGAACAGAAGCATATTTTATAGATATACAGTGAGGACCAAAAGTCCGTCGCCCCCCCTGTAACTTCTTTATTCTACATATTACAAAAAAATGTTAAATGCATGAGTGGTAGGGTTTCATTCGATCTCTTTAATGGTTTGAGTTTCATTTATACAGAGTGTCTCTAAAAAGCTCGGTGACTTAGAAGTTAATTTTTTTAAATGGGACACCCTGTATTTCATTGCATTATTACATTCTACGTTGAATTCTGAACAAGTTTGATAAATGGTTTTCTATCAAAAAAGTTAATAGTTTTGGACTTATGAACACTTGTAAATAATTATTTCGACTACTTTTGTGATCTATTTGTTACGATTTTCTCATTGAACTGGCGCAAAAGTAGTCGAAATAATTATTTACAAGTGTTAATAAGTCCAAAACTATTGACTTTTTTGATAGAAAACCATTTATCGAACTTGTTCAGAATTCAACGTAGAATGTAATAATGCAATGAAATACAGGGTGTCCCATTTAAAAAAATGAACTTCTCAGTCACCGTGCTTCTTAGCGACACTCTGTATGAATGAAACTCAAACCATTGAAGAGATCGAATGAAACCCTACAACTTATGTATTCAACATTTTTTTGTAATATGTAGAATAAAGAAGTTACAGAGGGGGCGACGGACTTTTGGTCCTCACTGTATAATAACCCTGGTATGAACAAATTATTCAGCAGTTATTGTAGGTAGAGCATTTACTTCATGGTTTCAATTGAATCTTTGAACATACATTAAAGTGACACAATTTATTTCTATTTGAATATTCAGATTGTGTAATAGTTCATAGATATGGTTTGTCCATAGTAGGTACTAACATTTCTTCTTCAATTTTTCAGCAGGGGAAGAGTTGTCGTCCAGGGTATCTTGCAATTGAGTGCAAATAGCTACACAAATTGGAACCAAAACCCAGATTCAATTGATAGCATGATATACAGTTTTAATTCATTCCTTGAAGTTGAATCCAAATTTTTAAGGATATATATCACTGATTATTTAGGTACTTGAACATATCCATGACATTTCAAATTGTATCTTGGAAATATTTATTTATAATTTTGCAGCTTGTATCTTTTTATTAAACTG